TGTACATTTTCCCTTCTTACGAAGTAGTTTATACTCCGTACTTTATACTACAGATAAATTGAATAACTACTTGGTTAGAATAATCTTTCTTCCTCTTCTTCGAGTATAACTTTAGTTTTTTAATAATTGGCTAGTACTGAATGCCTACCGGTTGTTCGATAAAGTTAAAAAGTTCATCTCTTTATATACTCCCTCCGTCCCGCAAAGAAGTTCCCGCTTTCCATTTTTAGCAGTCCCAAAAAGAAGTTCCCCTTTCCTTAAATGGATTTTAGGATTTTAGGCTTAGGTGCGACAATTTTCTCTCTCCAGTGTAGTGCTTTTAGGTATATATATATATATATATATATATATATATATATATATATATATATATATATATATATATAGGATGAGGATGATATTTTTTTGTGGAAAGTTAAATTACATTTCAGGATTTTAGTCAGAGAATGCTTAGGCGAGATAATTTGCTCTCTCTAGTGTAGTGCTTTTAGGTATAGACCGTTTTTTTTTTTTGTGGAAAGTGAAATTATATTTTAGGATTTTAGGCGGAGAATGCTTAGGCGGAAAACTCTTCTCTCTCTGGTGTAGTGCTTTTAGGTATAGAATGAAATTACATTTTAGGATTTTAGGATTATAGGATGATGATTTTTTTTGTGGAAAGTGTAATTACATTTTAGGATTTTAGGCATAGGCGCGACAATTTTCTCTCTCCAGTGTAGTGCTTTTAGGTATATGATTTTTTTTTTGCGGTAAGTGAAATTATATTTTAGGATTTTAGGCGGAAAATACTTGAGTGGGAGGATTTTCTTTCTACAGTGTAGTCCTTTTAGGTATAGGTTTAGGTATAGGATGATGATGATTTTTTTTTGCGGAAAATGAAATTACATTTTAGGATTTTAGTCAGAGAATGCTTAGGCGGGATAATTTGCTCTCTCCAGTGTAGTGCTTTTAGCTATAGAATGAAATTACATTTTAGGATTTTAGTCAGAGAATGCTTTTGCGGGATAATTTGCTCTCTCCAGTGTAGTGCTTTTAGGTATAGAACGTTTTTTTTTAAAGTGAAATTATATTTTAGGGTTTTAGGCGGAGAATGCTTAGGCGGAAAACTCTTCTATCTCTAGTGTAGTGCTTTTAGCTATAGAATGAAATTACATTTTAGGATTTTAGGATTATAGGATGATGATTTTTTTGTGGAAAGTCTAATTACATTTTAGGATTTTAGGCTTAGGTGCGATAATTTTCTCTCTCCAATGTAGTGTTTTTAGGTATATGATTTTTTTTTGCGGTAAGTGAAATTACATGTTAGGATTTTAGGCGGAGAATACTTAGGCGGGAGGATTTTCTTTGTACAGTGTAGTCCTTTTAGGTATAGGTTTAGGTATAGGATGATGATGATTTTTTTTTGAGGAAAATGAAATTACATTTTAGGATTTTAGTCAGACAATGTTTAGGCGGGATAATTTTCTCTGTCCATTGTAGTGCTTTTAGGTATAGAATGAAATTACATTTTAGGATTTTAGGATTATAGGATGATTTATTTTTTTGTGGAGAGTGTAATTATATTTCAGGATTTTAGGCGGAGAATGCCTAGGCGGGAGAATTTTCTCTCTCCAGTGTAGTGCTTTTAGGTATAGGATGATTTTTTTGCGATAAGTGAAATTACATTTTAGGATTTTAGGCGGAGAATACTTAGGCGGGAGGATTTTCTTTCTACATTGTAGTCCTTTTAGGTATAAGTTTAGATATAGGATGATGATGATTTTTTTTTGCGGAAAATGAAATTACATTTTAGGATTTTAGTTAGAGAATGTTTAGGCGGGATAATTTTCTCTCTCCATTGTAGTGCTTTTAGATATAAAATGAAATTACATTTTAGGATTTTAGGATTATAGGATGATTTATTTTTTTTGTGGAGAGTGCAATTACATTTTAGGATTTTAGGCGGAGAATGTTTAGGCGAGAGAATTTTCTCTCTCCAGTGTAGTGCTTTTAGGTATAGGATAGGCGGAGAATGCTTAGGCGGAAGATCCTTTTAGGTATAGAATGAAATTACATTTTATGATTTTAGGATTATAGGATGATGATTTATTTTTTTGCGGAGTGTAATTACATTTTAGGATTTTAGGTGGATAATGCTTAGTCGGGAGAATTTTCTTTCTCCAGTGTAGTGATTTTAGGTATAAGATAACATAATGATATTTTTTTTGCGTAAAGTGAAATTACATTTTAGGATTTTATGCAGAGAATACTTAGGCGGGAAAATTTTCTCTCTCCAGTGTAGTCCTTTTAGGTATAGGATGAAATTACATTTTAGGATTTTAGGCTTAGGCGCGACAATTTTCTCTCTCTAGTGTAGTGCTTTTAGGTATATGATTTTTTTTTGCAGAAAGTGAAATTACATTTTAAGATTTTACGCGGAGAATACTTAGGCGGGAAAATTTTCTCTCTCTAGTGTAGTCCTTTTAGGTATAGGATTAGGTATAGGATGATGATTTTTCTTTTGCGGAAAATGAAATTACATTTTAGGATTTTAATCAAAGAATGCTTAAGCGGGAGAATTTTCTCTCCAGCGTAGTGTTTTTAGGTATAGGATTTCAAAACTGAACTACTCCGTATATATTTAAGTTTCTTTCGAAAAAAGTGTTAACATATGTGTTGCAATGTAAAAAATATATTAATTTGTTGCGTTCTTTGCACTATAAAATTACATATTTTGTATGACGATAAATAGTCCAAGATTATAAGATAGTGAATTTAATTTTATTAAGGTTAAACAGAATCAAATAATGTTATTTCAAAAAAATATAACAATGTGTTCAAAAATTTCACAAGACTGAAATTAATATTGTTGAATTTAAAGTGCTTCATTTACAACGGAAAAATAATAATTTTGCAATTTATTAAAGAGCTAACATTTTAACATAATAATAAATCTTTATTTTTAAATTTTGAATTTAGAATTTCTTTTTGGTGTTTTTTGAAATTTAGTTTATATATTTAAATTCAATAAGGGTAAATTTGCTCTTTTATAAGAACATGGGGGATATTTTTTCATTTTTTAAAAATTCAGGAGTATATATGCACTTCAACATATACTTCAGGGGTATATTTGTTCCGAAAAATAGAATAAGAATATATTTGTTCTCACACCTATACTACAGAGGTATATTTGTACTTTTTCTCGTAAGAATTATAGATTTAAAAAAAACATGAGAAAACCTTGTGAAGTAGCGGATGCACGACAAGAAGGGAGGCAGGAATAAAGGCTAATGAAGAGAGCAAATGAGGCCGAAAGTTTAATAAAATTACAAAAATATCCCGCTTCACGGTTCCAACCCGTACAAACGGATATAGAAATTGCTCTAAATAGGAGCAAAAACGTTTTAAAATTCCAAAATAGGAGTATCATGTTTTTTATTCCCTTAATATGAGTAATCTGCAAAGTTTGGAAAAAAAATGTCATGTTTTAAAGCCCAGTAATGCCAAACTTGGCAGAAATTTACTCCTATTCAAGGAATAAAAAACATGATACTGCTATTTTGGAATTTCAAAACTTTTTTACTCCTATTTAGGGAATTCTCTCAAAGGGATAACATTTAAGAACTCCAAGAAGTAGGGCTGACAATATCACCCGCACCCGCGGATACCCGGTCAACCCGAACCGAAAATATGGATGAAAACCAGAAGAAGTATGGATGAAAAATGGATGACGGGTGAATCAAAAGACGGGTGGATCGGGTGTGGATGAAGGCTCATCCAACCCATCACCCGACCCGTCACCCGTTCCATCCACCCACCCGCTGACCCGCATATAAGTATATAATATATAATATATATTATATCTATTTACTAATATATCATAATAATAGTTAATTGGTGAAACAAAGATAATTGGAGAGCTTCAAGAAGTGGCAGTTAAATAGCAGAAATAGTTTTGTGCGATGCATAAATGCAGAATTTAACAACTTGAAGAAGTTTTATGTCTATTTTGTTTAACATTCAATTTTTTCTTTGTCATCGGCAGTGAATTAATGATTATAATATACTTAATTGCTCATGTTTTTGTTGTTATTTTACAATGAATTCTTAATTTTTGGTTTTAATTATCATGATTTCTCTTTGTAATTTATTTATTTTGTCTCAAGTTTGACCATTTATATTTCACCCGCTACTCACCCGATAACCCGTTCAAGATGGATGGGTTGGATGTGGATGTAATTTTTAATGGATGATGGATGGGTGGGTGAAGTATAAAAAAATAACGGGTGGATGTGGATGAGCCTCCACCCGGTGAAAATCCGACCCGCTGCCACCCCTACCAAGAAGTAACACATATACGGTTCCAAACACTGCCATATAGTAATAGTAACGTTCACCATATTTTTGTCCACAGTAATATTTTATTAAGAAAACCCCCGTTATTATTTAGTTGAATACTTGAATATATAGTTTTGGTTGAAACCATAAAATAAGTGATATTCCCTCAGAAACATATATAATACGGATTGGAGTAAAATTTATCATATTATAAATTATTTGGCCCTATTAAAAAAGTCAAAGTTTCAATGTTTTTCCATAGCAAATGGAAAATCATGTGCACCGAGAAATCAGCTATTCCAGTATTTCTTAGTCCCGTTGCCTAATTATTAAACGCTCTTCGAGGTTAAGCTAGTTGATTGAAAGAACATATATTCAAAATAACTATTTCACCTCTAATCTTATCTTACTTTCCAGTTACTCCGTATTTTTTAACAAAGGTAAATTTAGAATTCATACTAGTATGTTTTTCGAATATTTTCAAACAGTTGTTGTATTGCATTTAGCAGACACTAAAATTACAGTACACTATCTCTTGAAACTCACCCAAATTCCAATTGAATTTAAATATAATACTCCGATTTGTCTACTGAATTAACTTACAACAATTAACAGTACTTTCTCACTTTCTTCCATACTTTAAATCCAACCATTCTCCTGCGATCCATAGCTTCATTTTGAGAGCAGCAGCTAGGTGAATTAAAACAAAGCAAGAAAAAGAAAAGCATATGGGCAGGAAAATGAAATTCAGATATTGGCCATGGTACAGATGTGGCAATATCTATCCCAAAACACTTTGTTTCCGAGCAGAAACTCAGGACATTGATGATCATACACCAGTACTATCATCATCATCTTCATCAGACCCATATGATGATGGTGATTATGTTGAGGATGTGATTCGTGGGCTGAGGTCCGAAAGGCTCTTGTTCGGGCCGGGTGGGGGGAAATCATCCAAACTCATGGAAGAGGAAGAAGAAGATTTGGAAGGTGTCATGGATGGTGAGAAGGGGTTTGTGTTGAAGGGAAGTGTGGAAGTGGAAACAATGGCTTCTAGTAACCCCTTTGTGGACTTCAGAAGATCAATGGAGGAAATGGTCGAAGCACACGGATTTCAAGATTGGTGTTTTCTTCAAGAGCTCTTGGGTAGCTACTTGAGAATCAATGGGAGAAGCACCCATGAGTACATAGTTGGAGCTTTTCTTGACTTGTTGGTTCACCTATTGGGAAATGAAGCAACACATGATGATGATGATGACGACGATGCCATAGTTGCTTCTTTATCATCATTTACATCTTCAAGGAGTTCAAGTGCTTGTGGCCATTGGTTGTTATCTTCATTTTCATCATCTTCTTCTCCTTCATCTATTGTCCCATCTTTCTCTTCCCCTTTAATACCTTTTTGTTCCACTCTTAATCCAACTACTACTCTTTTGTCTTTTCTAGAGGAAGGTGAGGATGTTGGATTGAGAAATCCATAGACAATAACAATTAATGCATATCCATCTTCACATTCAATTCTCATTTTGTTTCATTTGAAATAGTTTGTACAACAGATTTGTATGATTAGAAACACATCAAACTCATACAAGTCTCATTATAAAACTGTGTAACAATTTGATCGGTTCTAAATGGCAGTTGGCGGAGCTAGTGTTGTTCAAGGGTGTTCATGTGAACACCCAAAAATTTCAATTGTTATTATCAAAACGTCGTCATTTTGTTAGACTGTAAAGCTCATATGCGTTTCAGAAGCTCCAAACTCCGAAACTCGTCTGTCCCTCCGTTACGTATCCAACTGCAGCTAAATGGTTTATTCAGAATCAATAATGAGAAAGTATTAAGATTTGGAACATGTTTTTTAGTGTCTTAGTGGACTCTATACAAATTGAAAGCCAACACCTAGCAATTTTTGTTCTTTCTCGATGAATAAAGAATCTAAGGAGCTATACAATTGTTCTTTGGTTGTATGGTTTTTGTTTAAGTTATTGGTGTTTTTTGTTTAATTTATTGGTGTTATTTTACTTAATTTATTATTGGTGTGGCAGAAATTTTTTCTTAATTTATTTTAGATGTGGCAGAATGTTTTTTTCTTCACTTATATGTGTGAATAACAAGGATTAAAAAAACTCTTCAACTAATCAAATTATTAATTATTAATTAATATGATTATTCCATTTTAGTTTAACTTGAGCTTTGAACATCCAAGGATGTTTTTAGTTGGACTGTAATTTGCTGGTCTGGTCTGGTCTGGTCTGTTTTAGTCTGGTCTGGTTTGTTTTGGTCTGGTCTGAAATTTTATTTTTTTATATTTTTTGCATAAAGATTTTATTTTTGATACTACGTATATATTATAATCCATAAATAATTATATTTTATTCATTTATAATAAAGATAATAATATTCCTTCCAAATTATCGAAAATTATTATCATTTTAATTGGATTGATTTCAATCCCAGACCGAAGCATATCATACAAATACAGAAAAATAATAAAATAGTACAAATATTAATAATAATAATAACAACAATAACAATACTACTACTACTACTACTAATAATAATAGTAGTAGTAGTAGTAGTAGTAGTAGTAGTAGTAGTAGTAGTAGTAGTAGTAGTAGTAGTAATAATAATAGTAATAGTAGTAATAGTAGTAATAGTACTACTACTACTACTACTACTACTACTACTACTACTACTACTAATAATAATAATAATAATAATAATAATAATAATAATAATAATAATAATAATAATAATAATAATAATAATAATAATAATAATAATAATAATAATAATAATAATAATAATAATAAGAATAACAACAATAATAATAATAACAATAACAACAACAACACCAACAACAACAACAACAACAATAATAATAATAATAGTAATAGTAATAGTAGTAGTAGTAATAATAATAATAATAATAATAATAATAAAATACGGTCTGGTCTGATCTGGTTTGGTTTGGTCTGGTCTGATCTGTTTTAGTCTGGTCTGGTTTGGTCTGGTCTGTTTTGGTCTGGTGTAGTCTGGTCTGGTCTGATCTAGTCTGGTCTGGTATGGGACGAATTACAATTCAAGTAAAAACAACCCAAATTATCGATGCTATCCGGCAGTGCTAAACGGTGTTACAAATTTAAAAACCAAATTTTTTCGTACCATTAAATATGTATTTTTTTTTTGATAATTCAGGTGTCGGGGCTTACGCTCCCATAATCCTGGAGTCTATGAACTACCCTCCAAAGCCCCTAGACAGTTAAGTCCGGATCTGATCACAGTCAGCCTCGTTAGTACTGACTCCAAAGGACGAATCCAGCAGGACTTACATCACCTTTCAGGTTGCTCCTCCCACCACACGAACCCGCTACCTTCATTATCATCCTCTCCCTTCTCAACCGCTGAGCAACTCTGTGAAGGTACGGAGAATCATTGGGAGCAAGACCTCCCTCATCTCCCTTGGTGGGAATTGAACCCAAGACCTCCCACAAAAGAGAAACTTGGGGGTGGATGGTCATCCATTGGACTACACCCACCTTCCCGATAATGTATTTTATGTGTCTACGTTACGGAGTATGTTTTATTGGAGTACGAAGCTATAAAAAATGCTCTTGTTACACATTTTTTACACACACCTACACACTATAAATACTCTCAAAAATAATTTACCTCTTTCCCCATTCCAAGCACACCCGATTTTTTTTTAAAAAAACCTTCCCCAACTTCACGCATCCCTTCCCCTTTCCCTTCATCTCTGCAACCGGCTACCCTCTGCCAAGCCCTCACCAGAGGCGATTCGTCCTCTTCAACCGGCCCACCAACCCGACGACGTTCGTCCTCCCACTCGGCGGCGCTGCAATAGGCGGTGCAACCAGCATTCTTCCCCAGCCAGTCCTCCCGTGCAACCGGCGCTGTTTAATCGACCCCCCCACGACGTAGAATCCTTTGACAAAGAATGGTGCGAATCCCACTTTCTTCAATGGCCGAAAGGTATGGTCCTCTATCCTTGAAATTTTTAGTGTAGATATAGTTGATGGTGTTTATTTGGAGGGTGAAGCAAGATTGTTTTGTTTAGCATGTTTTGGAACCCATCTAGTGCTTGGATTTTGAACAATACAAAAATATCAATTTATTTGTGCTTTGTGTGGGGATATGTCATATGGGGATATGCATTGTCTGTGTAAGTTATATGATTGTCTGTATGACTCTACATATGTCTTTCTGTACCTATATTAGAACATATCACACAAGTAAAATTGTAGCAGTTGAAGCTCAATGGTAGTTTGAAACAATAAGAAAATGGCTGATTTTTTTATAGCTCATATAACAGAGGACCATCTCAAATAGATCCATAACATCTCGCTAGAATGTACCTATAGTACTATAGTAGCAGATAAAAACATAGAAAATCTAACTATAGAAGTAGACTCACATCAAATATTATAGCTAGAATACTTAGACAAGGCAGAAGATACATACCTCGTTTCTCATTGCATCATGAAACATAGAAGGAACCAATGCATAAATTGCAAAACCTTCCGTTTGCAATTCCTAAGTAGTTTATTTAAGGAAAAATTGATTGTAATAATCCCACCTATTGACAGTCCGCTCATAATAATCCCAACTATCGATTATTTCAGAATAATCTCAACTTTAGGGACCCTCCGCCAATAATGGTCCGACGTGACCGACTACAAATAATTTCTATAGTTTCTAAAGAGATATAGCAGGTAATCCCTATAAATAATCCTAAATTTTAATTTTTACACTTAATTTTTATTAAAAATTCACTTGTTAGAGCAGGTAATATGCGGTCATGGATCATTATTGGCGGACGATCCATATAGTTGGGATTATACAAAAATAATCAATAATTGGGATTATTGTTAGCGTATCGGTAATAGTTGACATTATTATTTTCAATTTTTCCCTTTATTTAATTACTTATAGTGTAATAATCCTTTGAAATACTACGTATAATACTTTGAATAACTACTTTATTTACTTCTTTAATTAACCTGATTTTAGTGATCAATAAATTAATGTTGTCTATACAGGTGTTCATGCCTTTGCATTGTGATTGAAAGATGTGAATTTGCAATGAGGCTGTGGAATTTGAGGAAGCGATCAACCTAGACAACTTTGGATCTGCATGTTTAGTGTAGGATGGGTTTGTTTGTAAAACAATGATGTAACCTTACTATATATATTTTTTGGTGGTTCATTTTTTGCCTGAATGTACAAAGTTAAATTAGGCCTTTGGTTGTTAAATGTAGGAGGTTGTACAATGTTACACTATGAATGTTGTACAATGTTCTAGAATGTACTCCCAAATATTACCTGAATTGGTATGCCTTTTTGTTTTCGTGGCAAACACTTGATGTTTTTGGTGTTAATATATACAGAGGATCACTTTGCCTGTGAAGAAGAAAAAATGTATCTGTGCTGTAATACGACTTTGTATGTGATTTGTGTCATAGTTGTCTGTGCTATGTAGTTTTGTGTAATTTAATTACCATTGGAGCCCATGTGTAGTTTTGTGGTCATAAAAAAATTTAAAAATTAGGTTAATAAAATTTGTACGAGGTGAATTCATGAAATTTAATAACTACTCTATGTTCTTTTTTTGTATACTTTGAAAATGAAAAAAGACATTTTAATAAAGAAATACATTTCACAAAATGTGAGGTAACACATTTATATCTGCCCACAAACACGTCTTGTGTATGTGAAGACCAAAGAGTTTGTTTGTGTCCTAATACATAAATGTCTGTGAAAATACATGCATGCACATTTACATCAAACTAAGATTTAAATCTAAACCACTACAATTCATCATGTCATTAGGTCCCTTCTGTCCAATGACATGGTCAGCGGGGAATCCTAAACGCTTCCCATATGCTTTGTAGAAATCATACACCGTTTCTTTGTTATCACCATACCGACATCCGGAGCTTTTATAGAATCAACGTCACTCTCATTTTGCTGAATTTCTCAATCTGATCAACATTCACGCACAGACAGAAGTATATATACACACAGACAAAAATATATTCACACACAGACATTTAAAACCGAAGTATATTTATCCAGAGGTAGTGGTATATTTACGGACAGACATAAGTATATATACCCACAGACAAGTATGTTTATACACAGACATTTCAAATAGAAGTTTATTTACACAGACATAAGTTATTTTATAACATTTTGAACACAGACAAGATTATATACACTTCACAAACACACAAACGATATTATACACTACACAAATACAGAGAATTGTCTGTGAAGAACAAAGATATATTTAAGTTCAAAGCCAATAAAATCACCAACACAAAGTCATACCAAGCTCAGGGACGTCGTCCATGGCCGTCGCTGCCGCATCTCCGTCAAGTTCAGCCGCTGCCGCCGGTTCTCGCTCAACCTCACCCGTCGCTGCCGCATCTCCGTCAAAAATCGTCAATGATATTTTCATTCACAAAGCCGCCAAAATCCATTTTTTTCAAAGCCTCAGACCGTCGTTCTCCTAGAGCTCTGCTGCGGGAAGAAAAAAAGGCTGACGTGGGAGTTACGATAATCAGAAGCTGTGGGAAGAGGGGGGAGTTGTATGACTTGTATCGGTCTCGTGAGGGAGGGGGGTAAGAAATGTGGTAATTTTTGGACCTTTTATAGTGTGTATGTGTGTGTATGGAATTGTGTACCCGAAGCCCAATTGATGAAGCTATAGTGAATGCATACTTTTTCTAAGGGCATCCTCATTGGGAGGATTATTACAAGATTAAATTGGTGACATGACAGTTTTTTTAGAGAATTATCAATGAGTGACATAGATTATTTAATATGATTATTTGTTACAATAATCTGGCACTAGTGTAGAGAACACTTTCTATATGGGTTAAAAAACATTTTTTATGTCGGTTCCCGTAATGACATAGTAGCCAGCGATATAGAAAGTTGAGCACTTTTCATGTCAGGTAGTCGTACCCCTTATAGAATGTTTTTTATAACGGTTACGAATTTAACCGTTATACAATATTTTCCATGTCAGTCCAGTAATACCCCATATAAAATCTTTTTTACATGGGTTTAACCACCAACCGTTATTGAAAGTCGTTTTTTTAAAAAATAATCACATTTTCTGTCACTTATATATATAAGTGATTTTATATTTTAAAATGTAATGTTTTTATTTAAATTTGCTACATAATAAAATTTCTAATTCATACTAAAAATATATTTTGTGTAGAAATTAATGAGTAATATGTATGCAGCCCCTGACCCAATTCTTTACATTTATTAATTCAAAACAAAAAGAACAATAGGCTCATTTGAGCAACCGAAGTACAGAAATCAAAAGTAAATAACATAGCATTTAGTACAATAACTACTTTATTGTAGCAATATCACTGGCCAACTCCAGATTACTACTAACTTACTATTGACAACTTCAAACAAAACCATGTTCTGCCAAGGGTCAAAGTGTATATTACATTTCTAAGCAACCATATTTATGTACCGGTAGCTTGTGTCCTTTCCATAATTCCATCTATGACTTGTGTCTGATGTAAAATAAATTAAAAAACCAACAACTTTCTCAACTTCATTTAATATTCTTCTAAAGGTGTCCTGAAAAACAAAACAGAAAAAGTATTTAATATAAACATACATATAAATGTAATAACAAGGACTATAAAAATATAAACATTAATATCACATTAAAACAAATGAACTAATAATTCTAATGATCTCTTTGATCCAAATTAAGTGTCAAAAACAACAAGAATGCTCCATTTAAAACATATACTACCTATAATAGAACATTTGAGCTTCATTTTATTAACTCAAGGTACCTGCACTGCATATGCTATCAATTATTTGTTGTTCAAAGTCATGACTTATATCTAGCTTGAACTTGTGGTGTCACCAAGAGGTCAATAACTTTGGCAAAGTCTATTATACACAAAGGTTGAAATACCCAAAAAATAACTTCATATGTATTATTACTTGACGAATATCTCAAGCAATGGTAGTGAGAGGTGGGCAACTCTCACTATAACATAGTGAGATGAAAACAACACAGCAAAACTTCCCCAATAGTAAATCAGAAAAGTTGACAGAGGGTTTGATAAAACTAACAAATAAAACAATATAAATGGACCACAACATAGCAGGGATGAGGATGTTGATACTACTATCACTACTACAACCAGTCACATAAGAAGAAACTGCAGTTCTTTAATGAGCTTAAGAAGTGAAATATCTAGAAATTTGATCCATACTCTGGTCAAGAAAAGAATTTATGCACAACACTATTAGGGAAAATACAACCTTAAGCTGCTGATAACAAACCTGTTAATGAGAGGAGAGGCAATCATGGGAGCCGAACCTTTAATAATTGAATGCTTAATTCAAGGGACATGAAAATATCAACACTCATATCAACAGCCTATTTAAGTTGACACCCTTCGATTCGGACTAATTAGATGAGAGGGTTGAGTTTGCAAGTAGTGGTAGTTTAGTCATATGTGTTTCATGTTTCAACTGACCAAATGAAAGTCAAGTCTCTTCCGTCTCTTTTATAAATTTGACCCCACGTGTATATACAATCACGGTTGCTTATGAACCAACATAAATTAGGCCCCACAACTTCCTCCTCCAAGCATTTCAAATCATGAATTATATGCAATGCAAAATCCCAATCAACACAGAACTACACTAAGTGATTAATAAAGTATTAAATACATAAAAGAAATTAATAAGAGAGTAAGAGGGATCCATGAGATTCTTCCGTTTACAAGCCTTTAAAAAAGAGTTGTGACAACATACCACATAAATAGACAAAATCATCTGAGGCGGAAGAAAGAGCCCATTCGTATATTGGACTAGCTAGACCCTGTCTTGCCAGCTTTCCGAGCACCTAATCCAGTACACAACAAACTACAATATCTGAAGTAAAAGAAAACAGGCAAATATTTGATCACAAGTTAACAAATACTCCCTCCATGCTGAAATAAGAGGTCCGGTCTCCAGTATTTAGCTTAAACACTCATCTGGTAGATTTGTTTAATTATTTGTTTTATTACTCTATTTTTCTATTTTCCAGACTACTTTTCTGCTTTGTGCTTTCCAGTCCTCTTTCTGTATTAATAGATATTAAGTAGTTTGGTACTAAGTTTGATATACTAACTTTAATAGTAGTGTTTCTACTTACTAGAATCTGATAATCACTTTTATAATCTAGATATATATTAACTAATGTGCACTAACAATGACAAGTTTAACAAATATGTGGGGATAAGATTCACATATAGAATAAAAGCAGCACATGTATCCCCAACTAACTACCTTCCTCGCCACTTTGACTAAAAGTGAAGTTACAACAAGAACTGCAGAAAAATAAGAAAACCAAAATACACTGGTAGGGGCACATTCATTTGAATACTTAACAGGGGGTTGAGTAGGGGCCATTTCAGTGGTAGTTGTGAAATTAGCCCGCAAAACCGCCAAATCAAAGGTGACTGCAAATTCAGCAGCCAAAGCATCACGGGTAACCTACGTCACTTTAGGACAAGCATCAATAACAGGGGCAACCGGGACTTTAGGGACACCAGCAATAATAGCAGGGGCATCCAATACATTAACAGAGCTTCCGGGGTTCCAGCAACAATATTAGGGGAAACACTAGCTTTTGAAAAATTACCAATCACGGGGTCACAAACCTGGCTTTTAGGCACCAAAGGTCTGGTTGCCCGGGGGCAATTAACAGCACTGTGGCCTAAACGAGAGCAATTGTGACAGAATAAAGGAAGATTTTCATAAACAATTGTCTGGAAAAAACTAGTGGCACCGTAGCCAATCCTGACTTTTGGGGGCAGCTCAAGTGAGGTATCTAATTCAACACAAATCCTGGCTGTGGAAGGTCTGGAAAAGTTTGTTGTAGGAGCATCAATTCGTATTGTCTTCCCCAGAAGTTTATCAATAGAATTAAGGGCTCTTAAATCATGTAGGTGGACTGGGAGTCCGTCGAGCGAAATCCAAACCGGGGCAAGAGGTGAATCACGTTCGATAGAGAAACTGGTAGGCTCCATCGGGTAACCACCATATGGTATCCAAAGAAGTCCCATGTTTTTTTCTCCCAAAATTTGTGAAAATCAAGATCTGATTTAAAATTTATCAGAATAATGTTTGAGTGAAGCAGACCAACTGAATATGCCTCAGAAAAACCTAACCGTTCAAACGCTTTACGAATCACAGGGAGGGGGGGCGACCGGAGGGGAAAGAACCAACCAGTGAAAAACGGAAAGGATGGGAGAGAACCTGTAAATCATCGTCATAGAAGGAAATCGATGGAAACCCTCTGAAGATTCCGGACGAGCCCAGGTCTGATGCGTGGGAGAAGGAGCAAGCCTAAGTGTGCAATCGTTGGACGGGGATAGGATCCCTTACCACCGCAGCGTAAGAGGTCTTCGCCTGCGAGTTCACCGCCCCGATTCCTTCCGCCGGCGGCATGGCTGCCGCACAGGCTTCAGGTATTCCGTCGATGAAGGCTGCGCAGGTCTAGAGAGGCCCCACTCGTTAGTTCTTATGGGAGTTCCCATCGCTGTTTGTTTAACTTTTATCTTACACATATTACCTCCGTTCTTAAATAAATGCAACACTTTGACTTTTACACTATTCACATGTTCTACTTTGACTACGTTTTATTTATTAATGTAATAATATTATTTTATGGAAAAAATATTGTTAAACTTGTCTCATCGTAAATTTTCATAATCTATTTTTTTTTAATTTTTTACTAATACACGATCATTTATATTAATGGTCAAAGTTGTGTCTCGGCAAGTATGAAATGTCGACCGTTGCATTTATTTAAGAACGGAGGAAGTATTTTGATAAGGGTTAAAAATGAGCTGACATTGAAAAGGAGTTTTGAAAATTACAAAAGACACCCTGTTTCAAACATAAGTTTGCGAAAATTATATAAATGACCCCGTTTTTCTTATCTATGTCGGTTATTTCTAAAACCGTTATAATTGAAACTTTATATTTATAATATGTACCCAAAAAAGTTACTTCAAACTTTCATTATTTATAAATATGACCCCGCACCTACATATTAAAACGGTTCTAAATAAACCCATATTAAAAGCTAGTTATAGAATGTGTTTTTTGCACTAGTGTGGAATCAAAATATGAATCCGGATAATTTTAAGATTATTTGAAAAGTATATGTAATAGAGATAAATGCGGGACAGAGAAAAAGCAGATTATTTGAAGATGATGATTGAGAGACATAAACGAATTTTGAGATTATTTTATAATTAATTACATAACAATATTTAAATGGTAAGAATCATATAAAAAATTGATTATTAGAGATCATGAATGGAGATGCTCTAACACGTGTGTGTATTATGAAGCTTAATGTATTGTTGTCTAAAATTAGAGAATTATAAATATGGAGTAGTCATTGTATAAAGGTGGGACCAAAGATTTAGAAAAACAATTATTTTCAAAATATAACTTTTTTATTTTTCCTCCAATTAGTATAAATAATATATCAAAATTCATATTTTTTTATGATCTTTTATTTGACACCAATGTTGAATATATAATTTTTTCTTTAAAAAAAATGAAGAACATACCATGTCCGATTGAAATATCAAAATTCAAAAGTGTATGTCAGTATCTCCGATAGAAATATTTTCTTTCCCACCGGATCATGTTTAGGCTAAAAAACCATAGCATAATTCATAATTTTTTATGGTCTATCATATGAGATCAATATTGCATATGTAACATTAAAAAATCTAAGTCTAAAACTGGTCCGGTGAAAAAGAATTTTCAATTTTTTAATGTTATATATGCAATATTGGTCTCATATGAGAGATCATCATAAATTATGAATTCTTGATATAATATTTTAGTCTAAACTTGGTTCATTGGGAAATATTTTGATTGGAGATTTAATTTTGAATTTTGTTATTTCAATTGAACACTGAATGCTATTCAAATCTAAAAAAATTATATACTCCGTTTGCAACATTGGTGTCAAATGGTAGCCCATAAAAAATTACTCTCCATCCCAAAATGATAGTCATGTATATCTTTTTTGGGATGTCCCAAAATGATGGTCCTGTTTTCGCTTTTGGAAAGAAAGATGTGATCCATATCATTTCACTTTATTATACTCAAATCTCAACCACAACTTTTACTTTTTCAATCACTTTATTAAAACTTGTGCCTAAAAGAAAAGAGGCTATCAAATTGGGACGGAAGGAGTATGTATTATGCAATGATTTTTTAGCCTAAACTTAGTCTGGTGGAAAGAAGTTTCAATCGGAAATACTGAGATACACTTTTGAATTTTGATATTTTAATCGAACACGGTATGTTCTTCATTTCTTTAAAGAAAAATTATATATTTAACATTGGTGTCAAATGAAAGATCACAAAAAATTAGAGAGAATTCCCCAAATAGGAGCAAAACATAGGCAAAATGCAAAAATATGAGTATCATGTTTAGAATAGGAGTAACTTTAGTGTTTAGACAAGTATACCCCTACCCAAGCCCCAACAACTATTAATTAAATGTTTAATTCATAATAAATTCGAAAAAAATTCAAAAAATCGTAGAAAAATAATTAAAAAATTAATAAAATATTAATTAAATAAAAAAATTATTTTTTTTAAAGCTTTTTTATTTTTTTAAAAAAATTAATAAAAAATAGTAAAACTCCATAAAAAAATTAAAAAAATATGAATGCCTTTCCCACCGCTTGTACTACCTCCCTGCACCACCACCTTCGGGCGGTGAAAAAAAATTCCATTTTTCCTAAAAATTGCCTTTTTTTCTGAAAATGCAAAAAACATGGCATATTTCTCTTTGCGAATGCCAACATTTTCATTGTTTTCTGCCATAAATATGGCATTCGTAATAAACTTGGCATTTTTTTCCCTGGTGACTAAAGGTGGTGGTGCTGAGGCGGCAGAGGCGGCGGTGAATTTTACTACGTATTTTATTTTTTTGAGTTTTTTATTTTTAAAAAAAAAATTATATTTTTTTATTTTTTTAAAAATAAATAAATAAATAATTTAGTATTATCGAATAAGTCATAAATTAACTAGGTTAGGATTAAATAAGTCATATTTTAGAATTAACTAGGTTAGGGATATTAAGGATACAAAATTAATGTTTACTTCTATTGAAGAAAGTTTTAAGTTTTACTCCTATTTGTGCAATTATGTTTATATTTACTCCGATATTGGACAATTTCTAAAAAAAATATGAATTTCGATATATTATTTATACTAATTGGAGCAAAAATAAAAAAGTTATATTCATTTAAAGAAAATAATTGTTTTTCTAAATCTTTGGTCCCACCTTTGAAGTTGGCATCTGGAGTGCTACGTTAAATTCAGAAGTTGCGCAGGTAAGTCCCACCCGACATGGCGGCTTTATTTAACCACAATTTGAGTAAGTAGTATTTGGGGAATTATTTTTAACTCAACCCTATTTTCGTAATTATTTATTTAATTAGCATTAATTCGAGAAAAACTTCATTTAAATCTAATTTAATGACAGTGAATAGTAATTTAGGGGCTGTAAATTGAATTCCCCTTATAAATAATACTACCTCTGTCCCGTTATGATTGTCTCATTTTACCTAATCGGTCCGTCCCATTAAGATTGTATCATACCAAATTTGGTAAAATTTGTGTGACTCTAAATCATTCTTACTTTATTCTTACTTTATCAATTCAATATCAACCACATAAACCATTTTTTATTAATTTGTGTGTCACTCCCTCTTGTCTCATTCTTAGCGGGATGGAGGGAGTAAGTCCAAAATATTAATTAATTTTCAGTATGTACACTGTGCTCCTCAAAACCAATCAAATAGGCATCCAAATCTAACAACTACGGAGTATTAATTTTAAAAGTTTAATGAAGTTTGAACAATTAATGTAAATATTGAAAACAACTAAACAATAGATTCTTCTTAAAACGATCTCAATAAATACTTAGAACACATATATGTTCTAAATAGAATTAGAGCTCGTCTCGTGATTCAGTTTTTCAACTCGTCAGACTTATCATTCAATTTTTTCATCAAATACGAAATTTTGAATCTCGTCCGTTTTGAATTTCGTTCGTGAATTGTGTAACAATACGAAAAGTAAGGTTGAAGTTATTTTTCAGACTGTATTGATTGATATTACTACAAATGACCATTTTAGTTATTTTTCATATAATGTTTTTTTTGTTTTGTTAGTAAAATATATTTTAATTTTTCTTCTTCATAAATTAGTAAAATCAATCAATTAAGTCAGTTCAACTAAAACTTCATAAAATTAGTAAAATCAATCGATTTTGATATTAATTCTTGCGGAGTATTTATTAATAGAGGCGGTGAACACCTCGAGAGATATTAAAAAAGTGGATACATAAAATCTTGACATATTTGGAAAGATATCGAAAATTATTAAGCCTTCCAAAAAAAGAATGTGAGGTAAAAAACCTCACATATTAAATCTTGACATATTAATTTTTCTTCTTCATAAATTAGTAAAATCAATCAATTAAGTCAGTTCAACTAAAACTTCATAAAATTAGTAAAATCAATAAGGGTGATTATTGATTAATGGGTCCGTTGATTAATTAATAAAAGGGCAAATTATACCGTGGGATCGGCCCACCTTCCGCATGGTGTGCCGATCCCACTTTTGTCAAGTTACGTTGCTTTCTTTTCTTCCTAGAGCTTCTTCCTTCCCTTTTTTGCTATTCTTTATTTACTTTTCTTTTCTTCAATTCTTCTCCATTTTCATCAAATTAAAATGTTAAAAATTTAATTTCAGTTTTAATTTTTCTTATCTTCAATTTAAATTATAATTGAATCTATTTTTTTTATTCTTTATCAATACATAACAAAAAGTTTAATAATCTAAATAAGATAAGTACATTGCATTTCATATTCATACACTATTTTTTGTAATATCTTTTTATATTCATATATTTTTTTGTAATATATTTTTATATGCATACATTCAATATTTTTTATTGAGTTTGTTTATTTTGATTCTAGCTTGGGTTACATTTGATAATATACGAAGTTACATCATCTTATACTCAAGTTACATGTTATTATGCGTGAGTTGCATCTTGTTATGCGTGAGTTACATCTTCTTATGCGCGAGTTACAAACTTTTATGCGCGAGTTACATCTAATTATTTGTGATATTTTACTTATCTTTATCTTGAACTAATTAAATTCTAACTGAATTAATTTTTTTCTTTACCAATTTAATACAAAATTTTATTTATTCACATAAAATAAGTATATTGTATGTCATATTCATACACTATTTCTTACTTTGTATACTTTTTTAATATTTATTATACACTTTTTTTGTAAAATATAGTTTTTACATTCATGTACTTTTTTCTATAATATATTTCTCATCTCTTTTATATGTTTTTTGTGTTTTATAGACATTAAGGCTGTTTATTTCGATTTAAATTTGAAAAAACATGAGAATAATACATTTTCGTATGTGTGAGTTATATTTATAGACAATTTCTATAATTAAATTTGATATTATATGG